TACAATATTGAATTTGGAATCTCTACTTAGTGGGCCCTTTTCAGTAAATTTGGCCTGATTCAATTTTATGTCCCTTCCACCATTATCCCACATCTTTACTATCCATTCCCCAGATTTCTGTCTGTAGAAATTGGAAAAACAATGCAGGAGAATCAGCATTGTCTTGTAAATCAATTGCCCAGGGGAGGCCATTACAGGTTCTTCAGGCAAAGCAGGGTTAGGGATGGAGGCTGCTTGTATTGGCAAAGAAAACTCAGCAGAATGTAGAGGTTCAATGTCCCCAGCTTCATCAAGATCTTTCCGTACGTTTCATTCCATTCCAATTGTCAGGATCCCATTCCATCCCATTCCCTTTACGTGTGTGTATATACACACCCACGTATACACATATGTATCACATATACACATATATATATATACTGTGTGCATACACACACACACACACACACAGAGTCATATATCACTTACCAACAGGTATACATTTGAGAAATGTGTTAGGGGATTTTGTCAATGTCTGAACATCATAGAGTGTACTTACACAGACCTACACAATATAGCCTACTACACACCTAGGCTATATGGTATAGCCTATGGCTCCTAGGCTACAAACCTATACAGCATGTTACTGTACTATACACTCTAGGCAACTGTATACAATGATAACTATTTGTGTATCTAAATATATCTAAACATAGAAAAGGTAGAGTAAAAAATACAGCATTACACTCTTATAGGCCCACTGTTGTATATGTGGTCCATCACTGACTGAAACATTATGTGGTGTGTGACTAAACACACACACACATATATATACAGAGAGAGAGAGAGAGACATTTGTTATAAGGAACTGACTCACACAATCTTGGAAGTTGAGAAATCCCATGATCTGCCACCTACAAGTTGGAGACCCAGAAACACTGGTAGGGTAGTTTACTCCCAGTCTAAAGGCCTGAGAACCAGGGGAGCCAATGGTGTAAATCCCAGTCCAAGTGCAGGAGAAGACTGATGTTCCTGCTCAACAGTCAGGCAGAAAAGGAATAAATTTCCTTCCTTCGTCTTTGTTCTATTTGGGCCCTCAGTACATTGGATGAGCCCACCCACATTTAGGAGGGAAGTCTACTTTACTGAGTCAACTGACTCAAATGTTAATTTCATCTAGAAACATCCTCATAGACACACCCAGAAGCAATGGTTAGCTAAATATCTGGGCACCCCATGACCCAGTCAAGTTGACACATAAAAGTTAACCATCACACAGCCAATCTCATTATACTCAGTTTGACAAAAAATATTCTAAAGTTTCAAACACATGGTCACTCAGAGCCTAGTGTCTTATAACTATTTGACCAGGAATATCCAATAGTGATATTTCGCATATCTCTATTGGCACATCATGTCACAAACTATCAGTGTCCTCCACTGAAAATAGTCATTAAATCTAATCATCATAGATAATCAATTCAGAAAACAAACTCATCATTAAAATGAGTTCCTCTAAAGCTACTCTCAGTACCCAAATCTAATCAGTCAAAGTTCTCCAGAGAAACAGAATCAGTAAGATATAGATAGATGCATAGACAGATACATGCATAGATACACAGAGAAAGAGAAACAGAGATAGAGACAGAGACACAGAGACAGAGGGACAGAAAAATCCATAGGACAAGCTGGTAGCTGGGAGCTGAAGCAAGATCTGATGCTATACTCTTGAGGCAGAATGTCTTCTTTTTCAGGGAAACCTTGATTTTGCTCTTAGGCTTTCAATTGATTGAATGAGGTCCACCCACATAGTACCAAAAATAATTTCCTTTACTTAAAGTCAGTTCATTGTAGCCATTGACCACATTTACAAAATACCTGCATAGCAACACTTAGATTAGCGTTTAATTGAATAACTGGATACCATAGCCTATCCAAGTTGACACATAACTAGCCATCACAATCTCCAATAATGATGTGTTTTCGTCATAATTAGCAAATATCATAATTCATTTGGTCATCCAATCACAATAAGACATCACAAGCAGTACTTATTCTTAGTATTGCTCCCAGCCCTTCCAAAATTATGAAGAAACGATCACTTAAATTTAATTTACACGAATACCATTTATTTATGGTTAAACACTGCTTACAGAGTCAACAATCTCATATATAACAGCTCTACCACTAGGGCAAAAAAATCCTTAGTGGTTTGTGGATAATGTTTTGAAAACATTTATTTATAGCTAAGAATTGCCAGGAATAACAGCCAAATTAATAATTAAATAGAAAGCTTTTACTGCAAAAGGAACAAAGCTAAAATAAATAGGAACTATCTGAAATTTTTCAATATACAAATTCATAAAGCTTTTATTTAACTGAACAGTTATTACAATAATAACTAACAACCTGACATCTTCAAAGTCCCCTGGAGCTCCTGGCCTCTAAATCCGAGAGAGCTGAGCGGGATGGCCCAGTGACTCAGCCTGCGTGGGAGGAAATAAGAGAAATCAATGGGGAACATGGGGCAGGTGGAAAATACTCTGATTTGCTTCGTATTATTACATATAGAGAGGGGTTTTCACAGTCATAAATATGTAAAACTATATTTTTATTTTCCTTTAACTGAATTTAATTGCTGCCCTGAGCTTCTATGACAATCTAATAGCAGAAAGTTTAATCTAATAATTTCTAGGTAAATTCAATCAAATCCACGATTACAAAACATTGACATTTTTAGTCAGTCGATTCAGAATTTTTTTCCCAGTAAAATTCATGGACCGCTCCCCTCCTTCCCATTCCGCTTTCTCCTACTGGTATAAGCACGGGAGAGCTTAGAAAGGTGCCTGCATTTTAGCGGGTGAGGCATCTGGTTCCTGACGGTTCTCTACCCTCCTGCGGGGTCGTTAGGATGAGCAAATGGTTCGCACGGCATCGGCTGACTGCTTCCCTTCATGGTGACTGGGAGGCCACTTCTACTCCATCAGATTTCCCTCAGCCAATCCTGCACCTCTCTTGAGAGCAGGAGGAACTCTCTAATGCTCTCCTGTACTCCTGTGGGTGACCAGGACGGCAGGGAGAGAGGCACTCGGCCTAGACTCCCACCCACCATAGTATTTGCCTCTGCCACACCACGCTTTGGTAGAAGGTTGTTCCTCCGCAAAGCTTGGATCTCTCCCCAGGCCTTACTTGGAAAGGGAAGGATTTACATACCCCTAGCCTACCTGGAGTATAATGTTCTTACACCCATATGCAAACACACACACACACACACACACACACACACACACAGCCCAGGAAGGGAAGACAGGACATGGGGACCCTTTTCACTCTGCTCTCTGTTCTCACTGAAAAAAAAAACCATATTTTTCCCAGTAGCTCATCCTCATGGGTGAGGGAGTTTTCCATGCACAGACCCCTGCTTTTTAGTATTCAGAGACTTTTCTCTCTAACCTATTTTCTTTTGTAAAGGAAGTGCCAAGTATTTTTTTTCTTTTTTCTTTTTCTTTTTCTTAGTCCCTGAAGAATCTAAAGATTTTTTAATAAAGATTATTTTTTATTTTGGCTATATCAGTCCTCACCAGAAATAAGTTTCATTGATGTAGTGAGTGGAGAGTTTTGGCAAACAAACACAAAAGTAGAGGGAACTTTGATTCAGTCTTTCCCACGGCTGCAGCTACAACGTTCTAACGGAGAAACCACCATCATTCCCTGTCACGAGAGCACGTGTAGTGGAGGTCTGGCAGGCTTATATTTGAATCCCAGTTCCATTATGTTCTCTCTAATTGCTCTTGGACAAGTTACTTAACTTCTTTGAATTTCATGTTCCTCATTCTCGATTCCTATCTCATGGGATTATTGAGAGTTAAATGGATTAACCCCGCTATCAAAAAAAGTCGGTCCCCTAATCCAATTAGGCGAAATTCAAAAGTCCCAGTTGGCACAATGGCAACATAAACTATAGTGTAAAAGGTTAAGTTTGGGCCGGGCGCGGTGGCTCACGCCTGTAATCCTAGCACTATGGGAGGCCAAGGAAGGCGGATTGCTCGAGGTCAGGAGTTTGAAACCAGCCTAAGCAAGAGTGAGACCCTGTCTCTACTATAAATAGAAAGAAATTAATTGGCCAACTGATATATATATATGTAGCCGGGCATGGTGGCGCATGCCTGTAGTCCCAGCTACTTGGGAGGCTGAGGCAGGAGGATTGCTTGAGCTCAGGAGTTTGAGGTTGCTGTGAGCTAGGCTGACGCCATGGCACTCACTCTAGCCTGGGCAACAAAGTGAGATTCTGTCTCAAAAAAAAAAAAAAGGTAAGTTTGTTTGTAGTTTAAATAGTGGTAAAATAATCATGATAAAAGAGTCACAAGCCAGAGCTGGGCTCACACTTGTAATGGTGGCTACTCAGGAGGCTGACCCATAATGAGCGCTTGAGGCCAGGAGTTTGAGACCAGCCTGGGCAACATAGGGAGACTCCATCTCTACAAAAAATTATAATGATTTTTTTAAATTAAAAAAAAGTCATCTATCCAGGATGATTTTGGAGCTATATTAATCTAAGTGCTCAGGACTGGGTAACCTCAAACCAATAATTCACCACTCCCTACCCCTTCCCAAACAAACACATATACACTATATCTGCTCTATAATTCCATAATATTGCAAGTCCAGTATCTGCCTAGAAAAGTGAGCTCCCACATAGCAGAGGCTTTTCAACATTGGCTTGGCCATGCCCTGAAAAAGCCAGCCACTGAAAAAAAAATAAAAAAAGAAAAAGGAGAAAATAAAGAATAAAATTAAAAAAAAAAAAAGCCAACCACTGGGGCCTGGCGCATCTGGGATTATGTGAGTTTTCTGTGACGTAGGGTTCCTTGGTTAATGGATATTGTATCTAAACGTGCTTTTCTGACTTGATGCTTGTTCCTGATGTGGTACTTACTCTTCACCTCTAAGGGGAGTCTTCACTTGATCTAGTCTCAGCCTAAACACCAGACTCACCTCTGTTATTTCAATCTTGTTTCCAGGGTCCACTGGGAGATGACCTAAGTCCAAAGTCCCATGGAAGCTGTACTCTTAAATTTAAAGCCAAAAACAACAAATGGGATTTGAAAGGTTAAGGAGAAAGGATCACTATCAAAGTAAAAGGGCGATATGCGAAATATGGTGGCCCTTGAAGAGGACATGACTAGCAAAGGAAGGCGGAGATATGGGATCTTTTAAGAAATGGAGGATTTCACAGGAGGAGAAGTTCAAAATCTATTGTACTGTACCATTCCTTTTAAGAAATGAGAGATTCCTTGATGAGGAAGAACTCAAAACCTACCATACTGTACCACTCTCACAAAGAAGGGGTGGACCACATTCCACATACTCATGATTATCAGAAAGTGGGTTTCTAGATGAGAATGTGAGAGCCAGAGATGCCTTAGAAATCAGTCACCTGGTCTGACCACCGAATGCCTACCTTGAAGATACTGACCCAGGAAGTTAAGGGGCTGGACCACGTTCATACAGCTGCCCCGTGGCAAAGGGAGACTGGAACCAGCCCATCCTTTTCTCCCTGTGTCTCATTCCCTCCCTCCTGAACCACACACTGACTTGATCTGCTTTTCCATTTCCAGAACTTTGACCAAAACCGCCTTCCTCCAGGTGGATGAGGCAGTCACATAGTTATGCGTATCTTTTTCTCCAGATCTCCTTCCACATGGCTATGTCTAAGACTTCAAATTGCAGTTTTATAAATTAATGCCATCCAGCAAGGTAGGCCTCTGTTTCCAGAGCCCCTCTGAGACCCGACAGCCACACCTCCCTCCACCTGCATCCTTTAGCCTTTATCCCAACTCTGTGCCCACCCCTTTAACGAGCTGACTGTGGCTGGTAAAGTTTTATGGTATATTTTTTGCCCCTCCCCTCTTAAGGTATATTTTAATAGAGGTCTATGAAAACCAAAAATCTTCAAAGCCCGAGGAAATATAACAGGTGGTGAAAAGGCAGCTTTCCCCATCACAGCTCAACTCTCATGACACTCGTCACAGAAGGGGCTAGTGGAACACTCTCACGGAGGGATAATGTTTTACACTCATCAGGGAGTACAGTTTGGGGAGAGTGGGTTTATTAGATCTCCCCAATATGATAACTGTTAGCTACTTCTGACAAGGGTGAGGGGGTGGGGAAGGGGGGAAACGTGTTCTGGAGTCAGAAAGACAGTCTGGATCCAAGGCTTTGGTCTGCAGGCATAGCTGGATGGATTGGGAAACTGAGCGGAAGGAGAGAAGCTTAAGGGAAGGCCAGGTCCAGAAACGACATTGAAGACTAACTTCGTACATTTTTCTAGAGCTGGCTTAACACTCATGCCAGTCTCTAGCGATTCTGTTTTCTCCATGGTTTCTGGGGTTCTTTAGTGCTTTGTATTTATCCAATACCCAAGCATACTAAACAAATATTCTATATTGGAACTTATGTGACAATTTGTTGCCCAACAGTAGGGGTTCAGGTATTGAAATTGATCCCTGGCAATATCCTATTCCTACTTGTTATGCAGAGAAAATATCACCTATAGGTGAATTTAATAGAACTGTTCTTCATTTCTTTATTTTGGGTGTAAAGTAATCCAAATATTTATTTTCCTGTTTGAAAGCCTAAATACTCAACTCATGAGATTTCTTTAGATTTTTTTGTTAGAGAATCTGTATGTTTAAAGGGTGACCTCTTCATTATACGAACTACTGACCCATAGAATGTAAATAGCAAAAGATCTGTGGCAACTTTGTCATATATAAAACCAGGAACCATATTTCTACTCTGCCACATAGTATTTTTTAATAAGTATTTCATCAACTTTTCTGTTCCTTTCAAAATTATTGTAGAGACCTCTTTCTATCAAGTATAGTTTCAGATATTTATTTGGCATAAATTTACTACCAATTTTAGATACCGAATCTTTATTAAAATCCTTAACAATAAAAATGGTAAATCTTTTTTTTAAAAAAAAATCTGTCTACAAGATTTCAGAACTAGTTGGCCAGATAAAACTTCATGATAAAGTTTACTTAGTCCACATTCTTGGATCTTGCTAAGACAACAATTCAAACATGACAGGTGACTGCTTATTCAGTGTGTAACCAGTTCCAGTGCCTAACTACCTTACCAAGGGATGTTCTTCTCATGTCCACCTGAACTCCTTCTGCAATGCAATTCTGATTCTAACTACCCAGTGTTGGTGCAGACTTCGTGGGTTGAGGGTACAATCTTCCACAAGAACCTCCTCATTTCAGACACCAGTCACAAGCTCCAGAGTTCCAAGGACACGCATGCTTCTGCCCAACTGGTTAAAAGCCCAGGGGGTTCCTACAATCCCCCTCAGGTTTGATCATTTAATAGGACAATTCACAGAACTCAGGAAAGCACTCTTATTTATGTCTACAGCTTTATTATAAAAAATACAAATCAGGACCAACCAAAAGAAGAGACCTGTAGGGTAAGGTCTGGAAGGATCTGAAACATGGAACTCCCATGTCCTTTCCCTATGGAATCAAGATGCATCACCCTGCTGGGAAGCTCACTGATTAGGGAGCTCATTGGAACTTCAGAGTCCAGAGTTTTTATTGGGGTTTCATTATGTAGGCATGATAGATTGCATCATTAGCCATGTGATTAAACTTAAATCTCCAGACCTCCTCTCCTTCCTGGGAGTTAGACTGATACCACTTAGCTCAAAGCTCCAACTCTCTAATCACATGATTGGTCATTCTAGCATGGCCAGTCCCCATCCTGAAACTAGGGCCCACCATGAGTGACCTCGTTAGCAAAAACTCAGGCTTGGGTTGAGGGGTCTACCATGAATAATGGACAGTCTTATCACTAAGGAAATTACAAAGGTTTAAAAATCTTTGTCCCAGGAACCTGAGGCAAAGACTAGACAAATTATTATACAACACCTTATATGACTTAAAATAATGCACATACATAAATGGAAACCTGTGAAATGTATTTTATGAAACTCTTATGGACTGCTCTGTTTTGTTCCCTCTAGGTGTTGTTTTACTGGTGAAATTACTTCTACTTTATGGTCCCAAGCAGATATTAGCTAGCATTAAATTATCAAATTACTTCTTAGTAAAATTTTAAGAAAAAGGTCAAGTAGTCTTTTCTTATTTCATAATGTGATTTTCATTTCTCCTTTGAACTATTCAGAAAACTTTATAACTTGAAAGATAAAAAAAATGTCCTATTTCTTCAATTCATCTCAGAACTAAAAAAAAACAGATTTTCTGATGTGATACACACTCTTAGAAACAAGGATATGAAAATGAGTCTTTAATTTTGTTTTAGAGAAACACTATCTTTAATGATAAATGCTAAAAAAAAAAAAAAAAAACTGTCCTGGCATTTACAGTAAAAGCCTATTTCTATCACTTTAAGTCCACCTAATTGTATACTACATTATAGGTAAGAACCTAACCAACAGAGATGGTTAAAGAAAAAGTAGTTATCTCTTGGCCAGGCACAGTGGCTCACGCCTATAATCCTAGCACTCTAGTCCCAGCTACTCAGGAGGCTGAAGCAGGAGAATCGCTTGAACCCAGGAGTTTGAGGTTGCTGTGAGCTAGGCTGATGCCACTGCACTCGAGCCAGGGTGACAGAGGGAGACAATACATTCTGACTGCTAAAATTGGATTTGGCACTTAGAAAGAGCACAGGTTGAGGAAGTAATACAGAAAAAGTTAATAAGAAATAATATCAAACTTCAAACATTCTATTTGAGGAATGGAAGGGAGAGTTAGTTGTCAGAATATATATATCTCTCTCAAAGGATTATCATTAAAATTATATTATTCATCAACGATGACTAGGATTTTGTAAATGGAATATTTCAATTACATCAAAACTGTCCTTGTATAAAAAGCTTTTTTCCTCCTCCATTTAGTTAAGAATATAGCTTGTGTCATTCCATACACTGTGGCATTTGTTCATTGAACTTTTGTCCTTCTCAAGAGATGATTTTTCATCCCAACAAAAATAACTCTGAATCACTGGTTCTATGAATATTTTCTTCCTTGTTTGTATGAATGACAGATTTCAGTGTATTTATTTCTTAAATGATCAAAAGTTTCCATGAACCTCAAGTGGTCTATATTGCAAATGCAAACTGTTATTTTTTTTAATTTCAATTTTGGGGTAACTATGCAGTTCTAATCAGGAGTCATAATTCTAAATAAAGAGTATTCTCCATTCAACACCTAAGTGGACATATAGGAATAACATTTATCAGGTGTCAGACAGGTGGGAGGGCGGAGGAGGGGAGGGGTATATACATACATAATGAGTGAGGTGTGCACCATCTGGGGGATGGACACACTTGAAGCTCTGACTCGAGGGGGGGCATAGGCAATATACGTAACCTTAACATTTGTACCCCCATAATATACTGAAATAAAAAAAATTTAAAAAAAAGAATATTCTCCATGAATAATGGGAAAAAAGGTTTCACAGAGAATGGGAAGTCTACTGATATTTAAATTTTTTTAGAAACAACTGTTTATCTGACTTGAAAGCTAAAAGAAAAATATTATCCTAGTGTTTATTTCTATAGCTTTTCTATAGTGAATATGATCAATGTGTTCAAAAACTTTTACATGTTTCCAGGTTTCCAAAGAAAAAAGTGTTTAACACAAACACACAATGCTTTTTTCTGATTCCTGTTAAAGGATTATTTTTCTATAAACATACATGTATAATCTAATCTAACATTCAATTTTTCCCATGAAATTACTATGAATTGGAATTGGAATTACTTGTTCAATTAGTTGTCTGACCAGAAAAACATAATCTCCCTGAAGGCAGAGCCTGTAATTGGTGCTTTCAGTAAGTGAACAAATTATTTAAAATAAGATTAATGAGTAAGTTAATTCAAAGGGAATATGTATGTTATATATATGATACGAATATATCATGTCCCCCAAAGAAAATTTTATATAATTCTTTAATGTCAGATTTGTAATCCAAAAATTCTAATGTGATTTTGAACGTAGCAAATAGAAGGTCAAATGTTTCTAAAACATTTATAAGGAAGATAAAGCATTAAGATAATATCATAATAGACGATTTCATTATTTCTTTAACTAAAACTTCCAAGATTTCATTCTGTATATTGGAATTCCAGGAATGAAAATCACTTCTGATATTAAACAAGGGTATTCTTCATATACATACCGCATTATGAAATTGAAATAAAAGAAATGGCTTTCAAGACCTCTTGTACTTTATTTTGCAACTGCTTAAAATAAGATCATCAAAGACTGTTGGAATTGGAAGGAACCTTGGAGGACTCCAGGCCAAATCTCTCGTAGAGCAGCAGGGAGGAAGCCAAGAGACCTGCCACATCCTTATTCAGACCCTGCAGGGAGCTCGGGCCACCTGATGCCACTCCGGCCACCACCAGTTTTTCACTTTTCCATTCAACCATCAAGTGTCTTCAGTTTTAGAAACATTTTAATCATCAATGGAAATGGAAATGAATGTTAAAAATAAAATTTTACTAATTATCTCAATAAAATCTGAACTTTGTCTTTCCAGTTTCTTTCCAATTTTTCTCGCTGCAGAACGGTTCCCAGCCCAGGAAGCCGGGAGGCGAGCGGCGCGCGAGCACTTACGGTGCAGCACCGCCACCTAGTGACCATTCTGAAGGACTCGTTCACGCTGCCAAAACCACAGTTTGTCCTTTCTACCTTTTTAAGAGCATGGGAACCAAGATGTGACCCATAAACTACTTCTACCTTATTACAAGAACTCTTCTGATCCACAGATTACAACCCACCTAGCAAACAGGAACCATCTATTATTATAAAGTCAACCAAGACCAGAAACTATTTCTATTGTTGAGCAGGAACCTCAGTCTTTATATCCTTCACTTTAAATAAATATCTCAATTATTTAAACTACAGTGTTGTTTCCAAGCTGCTGCTTGTGTAAAAGGAGGCAAAACTGGAATTTGCAGCAGCAATTTGAAGTACACCATTTTACAGAAATCCTCATGCAACCGAAAAGAGAACACAAAATGAAATGGGAGAATGCAGCATTTATTTGACCAGTATGTGTATGCCAAAGTTGATACCTTGGGCCAAGGAGACACTTGATTATCTCTGAATATAGTTAGGAAAGAGGGAAAATCAGGTATTTTTTTTCCAGATTTTCTTGGCTGTTCATGATATGTAGACTTGAACTGTACAGTGCTTGTTCTTGTACTGTGTGTTTATTGGACCTGTGTTCTTTTGATGTAAGGCAAAATGACATTTTAAGAAAGAGAATCCCAGCTGAGCATAGTGGCTCATGCTTGTAATCCCCGCACTTTGGAGGCCAAGGAGGGAGGATCACTGGAGGCCAGGAGTTCGAGGTTAGAGTGAGCTATGATCACGCCACTGTACACCAGCATGGGCAACAGAGCCCTGTCTCAGAAAGAAGAAGGAAGAAAGGAAGGAAGGAAGGAAGGAAGGAAGGAAGGAAGGAAGAAGGAAGGAAGGAAGGAAGGAAGGAAGGAAGGAAGGAAGGAAGGAAGGAAGGAAGGAAGGAAGGAAGGGAGGAAGGGAGGGAAAAGAAAAGAAGAGAATCTCTTGCCCTTAGGGACTGATTGTTGAAAAATCGAGCCTGAATGGAGTCTTCATTGCATGGTAGATCCCAAGGCAACAACCAAACTTCTTTGCTTTAAGCAGTCATCTCCTGAGCAGCATGTGTGTTCTAGTCCACTTCAAAGAAGTTTGCCGTTCTCCGTGGGGTGACTTCCCACTGAGAAAGACCATAAAAGTAATTTGTAACAACCTTTTCCATGTAAGAGTGAATTTGGTCATTTCAGACAGAAAAATAATCGAAAGTACTTGAAAGTTATTAATAATACCTTAAGGAAAATTCATTAATGAGAAAGAAACCCAACAAGTTGTATCTGGGTTTAAAAAACAAAAACCCTGGGTGCAGACAACCCTGCTGTGGTCTGAGCGGCTCTGGTGCTGTCTGTGTATGTGACTCTTTCAGACAATTGCCGACAATTACTTGATTAAGGCATTGAAAGTCACCCTGGGTTTTCATAAACTGGAAGATTGTAAAACTGGATCTGAATTCTACAAGAGGAGAAGGTCTGAGAAAGCCCCTTGCACATTCTGGTCTAGTCTTTATTTCTGCATTTTGTGAAGGAAGAGAGTGTCCCCTGTGAACGTGGGTAGCCTTGTTCAGAATGAGCCTCCCCAGGCTGCTGCTGGTCCTTATCCTACAGGTCATCGCCTGACTTGTAATGTCACTTAATGATCAGTCAAGAAAAGATGAAAAAAAATCTTACATGACTTGTCAGTGCAGAGGTTTCTCATATAAGTGTGAATAACAATTCTAGAAATAATTTCTGTAATGATACAGCCACTAAAGAAAACCAAATGAGACATAGAAAATTGCTACCCAACATACAAGAGCCAAAAAAGAATGGTTTACGGTTGTGTAATTGATCACCCTCTTCTTTTCTTTTCTTTTCTTTTCTTTTTTTTTTTTTTTTGATCACCCTCTCCTTTTCTTATTCACAAAATCCGTGGATAGCTCTGACCTATCAGGAATTAACTAGTATCAAGCTGCATATAGTCAGGAAGACTGTATTTTTTTAGTGGCTTCAAAATTAGACATTTTCTGCAGTTTGTTTTTTGGTTTTTTTTTTTTTTTAAGAGAAAAAAGGAACAGATTTAGTATCTCAAAGAAATTTAAGAGAAAATAATAGCCTCTTTCTGAAAATTTCCCCACCCTAGTTTATGAAAAAAGTACCATCATAAATGCAGGGGATGCCCACAGCAACCTCGGTTCACATCCGAGTCACAGCACCAAAAAATAAATAAATAAATAAATAAATGCAGAGGAACTCCCTTTGATTGAAGAACTCACTAACGTCAGGATAAAAAGCAGCCTCTATGTCATTACTTCTGGGGTATTTAGGGGCTAATCATTCTTTTCCTGTTCTCATTCTTTTTCTCATTATCATTCTTTTTTCAATGAATGTAATTTGAATTTGTAGGAATATACATTTGTAAGAATGTAATTTGTAAGAATATACATTTTGCTCCTGGGCAAAAGTCAATATGACTAGTTTCATTCTGAATTTTTCAAATGTTCCATAAGCATTTTTATTTTCCCTTAATTGTCCCTAGTGCCATAATGAAATGCCATATTTCCTTGTGTTGGGTAGCCTTCCCAAAAGGGACTCTGCTGAAAGACACGAAGAGAGCTGGGAAGGGGAAAACACCACCACGCACGTGGCCTAAAGCACATCCCACTTTTTATTCAAACGCTGTGGCCCCTGTGCTTTGCTGTCGCATCTTGCCATCTATGTGCCTATTATCGCCGGGAAGGAAAAGCAAACTCTGTCAAGCAGCTGAATCTTTAGATGTTAGAACAGTCTGGGGCCTTTTATTATATAGCCAGCTGATGATCTCTGTTGCTAGGGATACCTTTTCACCGCAAATATGTAAAGTAGTAGAGACCTTGACAAAAGGTTAGGGACACTGAATAGAATTTTTCAAGGAGGCTGTCTGTCTCCGGTTGTTTCTCTTACATGTGAGTGTTACTTTAAAATGGTATTACATGTTTAAGCCTGGATTGTTTCAAAATCATTCCAGGAATCTAAGAAATCAACCTTCATAAAAATCAAATTCTACAGCCTAACTGCCAAACCTAGAACTACTATAGGTAGTGCTAGAATTTTTAGAATGTGTACACAGTTCAAAGTGAAGTAGAAAATGGAACTGAATTTACCAGACTGACTGCCTAAAAAGCTAAAATTCACTAATACTCTACCAACTTTAGCTTCACGTCCTGCTGCCTAGTCATGGCCTAAGAGCTAATTCCACACAAAATGAAAAGGAAGAGAAGATAAGAGAAAATAATTGTGATGCTAATTCTCTTTGTATTAATATATATTATATGGACTTTATTTCTTGCATTATAAATGAAGAAATGAATCCCTGAAAAGCCTAAAATGTCAAAACACAGAAATCAGCTACAACCAGTCCAGTGTGTGCCACTGTTCTGAGAATGTCTATATGAAAGATAACAGCCATGAGAACAATAAGTGAGAAAACACATTAACTCATGAGCTTCTTGTATTAAATAAAAGAGTCATCAAAAAAACACACTGGCCAGGCGAGGTGGCTCACGCCTGTAATCCTGGCACTCTGGGAGGCTGAGGTGGGCAGATCACTCGAGGTCAGGAGTTCGAGACCACCCTGAGCAAGAGCGAGACTCTGTCTCTACTAAAAAAAGAAAGAAATTAGTCAGACAACTAAAAACATATACAGAAAAAATAAGCCGGGCATGGTGGCGCATGCCTGTAGTCCCAGCGACTTGGGAGGCTGAGGCAGAAGGATCACTTGAGCCCTGGAGTTTGAGGTTGCTGTGAGCTAGGCTGATACCACAGTACTATAGCTATAGCACTATAGCCTGGGCAACAGAGTGAGACTCTGTCTCAAAAAAAACAAAACAAAACAAAAAAAAACACTGAGGCCAAGCGCATTGGCTCACCTCTATAATCCTAGCACTCTGGGGAGGCCAAGGCAGGAGGATCGCTTGGGGTTAGGAGTTCGAGACCAGGCTAAGCAAGAAAAGATCCTGTCTCTACAAAAATAAAAAAATAGAAAAACTAGCCAGGCATGGTGGTGCCTACCTATAGTCCTAGCTTCTTGGGAGGCTGAGGCAGAAGGATCACTTGAGCCCAGGATTTGAGGTAGCAGTGAACTCTGAGGACCTCACAGCATTCTAGCCGGGGCAACAGAGTGAGACTCGGGGCAACAGAGTGAGACTCTGTCTCAAAAAAAAGAGAGAGAGAGAAAGAGAGATCTGGTAGCAGTGAGCAGCAATCTGACAGAGCTGTGGCCACCACAAACTAGAAAAAGCTCTCAGTTTTCAAAACTTTTCTAAGAAGTCATTACTCTTGGAAGTATCCACATACAATTGCTCTGCTGAGGTGAAATCTATTCAATTATGTTAAATCCCTCCAGAAATGAATCCCCTACCATTTGTTTTTAAGATGGAATGTCAACAAACAACTATATTTTCAGTATGTGTATTAGAGAATGTTGTTATAGCATAAGGTCCATCCTTGAGCGTGTTTTCCTTTCTTTTAAAGCATATTTACTTTTCTGGGGACCAGATTAAATAAATAAATAAATAAACAAAATAAGGCCGGGCGCTGTGGCTCACGCCTGTAATCCTAGCTCTCTGGGAGGCCGAGGCGAGCAGGTGGTTTGAACTCAGGAATTTGAAACCAACCTGAGCAAGAGCGAGACCCCGTCTCTACTATAAATAGAAAGAAATTAATTGGCCAACTGATATATATATATAAAATTAGCCGGGCATGGTGGCGCATGCCTGTAGTCCCAGCTACTCGGGAAGCTGAGGCAGGAGGATCGCTTGAGCCTAGGAGTTTGAGGTTGCTGTGAGCTAGGCTGACACCACGGCACTCACACTAGCCTGGACAACACAGTGAGACTCTGTCTCAAAAAAAAAAAATAAAATAAAAAAATAAAAAATAAACAAAATAAAGCTTATTGATGAATTTTATAAAAGTCAGTAATTTATGGCTTCACTCTGAGGTAGATATATTATTTACAGTTAGTTTATTATATATACATACAAAATACATTTTTTCCCAAAGTGTTCAGACCATAGGCATGAACCACTGTGCCCAGCCTGGTTCTATACTTACAGATAGTTATTAGAATAAGAAATGGAACATATTTATTATTTCACATACACCATATATGTCATCAAAACTAGTTTCTAAGTTCTTGATGACCAACTAGTTCATATTCTTTTTTACTGAGAAATAATCTTTATAACCTTTTTTTCATTTTCAGTTAGTTCATTTATAAATTCTTAGAAGCTTGAAAACAACTCATTTCCTCAGTCATTAAAAGTTTCCTGAGTTTTTTTTCTAAATTACTACTTTCAGCCCAGTTCAAAACATTTCCTTTTTAACAAACTCTTCTGATAAGCATTCGGGGCAAGAGCAGGAAACGTGGTATTTAGCTCCATCTCTATATAAAAGGATAATGCTCTAAATTATGAAAATGAAGGTGTTCTCACTTAACCCGGGATGAATAAGTCTGTCTCACCCTTGCTACCACTGTATTATTCACAATATTAAATCTCACTTTGGAAGACTGTATTCATTAAGTTAATAAATGAGAAAATGAATCACCCAAAAAAGTTAGTATAATGCATAATTCACAGTATTACAAACAAACTGAACCCTCCCCGGGCCTCAGGTGCCTCAATCCCAAACACAAAAATCAGCAGACCTTCCTCCTCTTAGCCCAGGTTCTTATTTGAAGTGGTATCCTGAGGGCTCCACGGATAACTTTTGCCCAAAAGTGCTTCCCCAAAAGAATCCTGAAATTACTTTTCCCATTAAAAATTCTGTGAATGATGATTTATCTTCCTTCTACCCATCATCATTAAAAAGAGCTAATTTAAATTTTTATGAAATAACTAGGAAATCTAATTGCCAAAAACCCTAAAGAGAATGAAGACACACCCAATTTCAAATGACAAAACCTAATAAAAAGTTATTGTTCTGTGTATGATGAATAGGCAGCCAAATGTCTGACACAAGCTGTGTCGGCTTCAGCCTCTGGCCCAACCTGAAAGGGTCTCTTGGCTCCACCCTGATCCTCTGGGGGTTCCCGCCTTGCCCTCTGCTCCATTCCAGGCTGCGCTTTTACAAAGGGCATGGAAGGTAATTGACAGGAAAGTGTGTTGGGAAAATCCTCAAGTTCTAACCACAAATGTATCTCTGGGACAGACAGAAAACCTGGCCAGGGTTAACCCATGAGAAGAAATGCTATCATAAGGGTAGAATTCTCAGCTGGCCCCAAAGATTCCTGCTACCTGTCACCCAGGCTCTGTATAAGGCCCTCCCCTGAGTATAAATGTGACTTGAGCCTATGAGGGGATAGTAGCTCTTGTGACTTTATCACATGCTGTAGATGACAGGACTGTGCAGATGTAATCAAGGCCTCTCAGCAACTGACTTTGAATTAATCAAAAGGGAATTCACCCTGGGTGGGCCTGGCCTAATCAGATGAGCTCCTCGATGTCACCGGGCCCTTCCGGAAAGAGAGATTCGGAGCGTGAGAGATTCTCCTGCCGGCCTCACAGGGGTGGACTGCCACGTTGGAGAGAGGGCCACATGGAGGGAACAGGGCAGCCTCCGGGACATGAGACGGGACCAGCTGACCCACCAAGGATGCAGGAACCTGCATCCTACACCTGTGAGAAACTGAATTCTGCTGACAACCAATGAGCTTTAGATGAAGCCCCCCAGCTCCAGGTGGGATGGCAGACCTGGCCTTGTGAGACCTTTCGAAAATGCACCTGGACTCCTGAGCCCCAGAAACTATTTTTCCAACTCTGAATGTGCTATTTTGTTCCATTTATTTAGGACCTCAATGTTTTCAATAAGGTTGCATTCGGTTTTGTAGCCAACTCTAAATATTAAAACTGGTTTTCATGTTTATTACCTGTCATTTGTGCCACCACCTCTCTTACATACTAAATTTCATCTAAATTGTGGTTATCTCTTTTTTTTTTTTTTTTTTTTTGAGACAGAGTCTCACTTTGTTGTCCAGGCTAGAGTGAGTGCCGTGGCGTCAGCCTAGCTCACAGCAACCTCAAACTCCTGGGCTTGAGTGATCCTTCTGCCTCAGCCTCCCGAGTAGCTGGGACTACAGGCATGTGCCACCATGCCCGGCTAATTTTTTTTTATATATATATCAGTTGGCCAATTAATTTCTTTCTATTTATAGTAGAGACGGGGTCTCGCTCTTGCTCAGGCTGGTTTTGAACTCCTGACCTTGAGCAATCCGCCCGCCTCGGCCTCCCAAGAGCTAGGATTACAGGCGTGAGCCACAGCGCCCGGCCTGTGGTTATCTCTTGATGAACCGGGTTATATGCCCAAGTAATTTCTTCCCAACACAAGTGTTTTATGAGGGCTTTTGCACATATAATAATATTTTTCTTTAGTCTTCTCAGACAGACAACACTTTAGCTAAGCATAAAATTCCCTAACTGCAAGCTACTCTCTACAAGTGATGCTGGCACTGATCTGTCTTCTTCTGGCATTCACAGAGATCTAAGCCTATGATTTGTTCCTTTTAAGTGACTTGTTTTTATCCGCATGGGCTCCTGCAGTCCAGTGTTTCTTCTCTATCCCTGTGAAAGGGTAAAATTGCTTTGAACCAATGGTCATGACATGGGGTCACGTTGCTGTTAGGCAGAATACACATGTCTTGGAAACAAAGAGTGGAAGTCGCTCCTGTCCCTGCAATCTCAGGCTCTGCTGGGCCACCCGTCCTGGTCCCCTAAGAGGGTACACTTCCGGTTAGGGACTAAGTAAGGGTTCCACAGAGCCTAAAGCTTTGACTGCCGTTTAGGCCTTCTCAAGTAAATCGGCAGGCAAAGTAGAGTTACTATACTGGGGGCAGAAGCTGCCCCCGACAAGCATGAGGAAATGCGATCGCTGCTGCACAACAAGGCAGGGAAGAGTATGTCTGGCACTCAAGGATTCACAAGGCCATCACTTGCTTTGACACACAGCATCCACGCTTGGCAAGAACACAGGAAAGAGGAGTTCAGATTCCTCACAGGAAACAGGCTGAGCAAGTCACCCAGATCAGCAGGAAGATGAGCCAGGGGTGAGGGAATCTAGAACGGGTGAAGAAAAAATTGGGGAATATTAGTTTCAACTTGGGTACCACCTGCAGCAGAGCAAGCGGTAGCGGAAGCTTCCCACCGTCCTGTTGTGAGTCTAGTTTTTAGAAATTTTGCCTGGGCAACCTCGAGGAATTGGTGACAGGATGCTGTGAACTAATGCGGGGCATGAACGGATCAGAGTGCACAATAGTGATAGCAAGACCCCCTGGCAACACCCGTCTCTCCTGCCTATATTTCAGCTCCCACATGCCTGACTTCCAGCTGCTAGTACCTGCTCCCCCCGCTGCAGGCTAGAAGTGCCACACAAAGAATGCTTCAGGAGCCAACTCCGGCCAACGACTGATGAGAGAGAGTGGACACAAATACACCCCAGTTTCCTTGATTGTCGAGTGAGATAAGGCTGAGCTCCCTGTTCTGAGCTGTGTCCTCGTGCCCTGGTTAAGATCAGGCTCATTCATTGACTTCTTTTCCTCCCTGCCTCAGTCCTCCATCACCTACCAGAGTTTCTTGGAGTTATTTCTCATCCCAAGTACGTACACTCAAATCCTCACCCCAGTTATTCTTCTGGGGAAATCTAAGCCAGGACACTTGAGCGGATTCTAAGCCAAGACACCAGGAAGCTCATGAAGCATCAATGTCAGCCCCATCCACGGCATTGGGACGGGTCCCAGCAAGGTGTTCACGTGGTCATACATGTTGTCAAATGGGCCACAGAAGATAATTTTGTCTTTATTTTCCTAATGAGAGCCCCAAATCTGTGTGACCTCCAGGGCTTGCAAAACTCAGACCCACTCCTGATTATCTCATGCTCCATATACACTATCCGCTTATTCATCTGTTACCATCTGTCTTCCTCCGCTAGAACGTAAGCTCCATGTGGGCAGGAATGTTGTCTGACTCACTCACTACTGAATCTCCAATACCCTTATCAGTGCCAAGCACACAGTAGATGCTATTAATAGTAATATTTGTTGAATAAATATATGAGTAGGCTGGGCACGGTGGCTCACACCTGTAATCCCAGCACTTTGGGAGGTCGAGGCGGGAGAATCACTTGGTCAAGGCCAGCCTGGGCTACATAGCAAGACCCTGTCTCTACAAATAATTTTTAAACATTAGCCAAGCACGGTGGTACACCCCTGTAGTCTCAGCTATTGGGGAGGCTGAGGTAGGAGGATCACCTAAGCCCAGGAGTTTGAGGTTGCAGTGAGCTATGATGGTTCCATTGCACTCCAGCCTGGGTGACAGAATGAAACCTTGGCTCTAAAAAAAAAAAAAAAAAATGCAAACTGGACTCCAGCAGGAATTTCTCACAAGAATGCTTATAGAAAAACATTGAATAATGTATTGGATAATTATTCCAATGAGCATGAAAACTGAGATGAGATGTTTCTATATCTTGGCTAAAGAACCAGCCTTCTGTATCTGAAAAGAAAGTCCTCCTGCACCAAATATCCAGTTATATGAGGCAGACCCTAAAGAGTGAGAAAAGGAGGCAACTGCCATTCCTGCAAGATCAATTAAAGCAGCCCTGGTAATTGGTAAAATGACAGGTTTCATAAGCAATTTAGCCTAACGGTATTTTTTGTTACTCTTATAAATATATTTCTAAGGGAGCTGTGACTATATAGACACACACACACACACAAACACACACACCCACACAGACACACACACACAGTCAAGAACATTATTTTCTGATCACCTAGTACAGCTATACCCAGTATCATGCAGCCAAATAACTTCGAGACCCTAGAAGACAAGATAAATATAACTCCCACAAATCTGCTGTTCCATTCCTCCTCTCTCCCTCTGTTATCTCCCTCCCTCTCTCTCACCAGATGTCACAAACAAACTTCTGGCAAGTGCTGAACTGCAATCAACTCGTAGTGACAAGTGACTAAAATGCCAGTCTTCTGTGTTGTTGAGTGGAGGAAAATACATATGTTTTAGATCCCAGACATGCAGATGGCAAGAGGGGACGTGTTGGGGAAATTCAGGAACCTGATTTATATTCTTACCAGAAACAGAGATCCCACTTCCCCATGGATGCTGCTACCAGAACCAAATCTCTTCTCTCTAAAAACAGCTTTGGACCTATTCAGAAACACACAGAAAAAGAAGATGAAGTGCTTTGTTGATAAATCTGTGTCATAAAACGTGGAAGAAACTACTTTGTTTTTTTAAAATGTTAAAAGTATAGAGTCCTGACAAACTGAATTCCAACTCTAGTCCTACTAATTAACATTCCCAGGCAAGTGACTAACGTCTCAGATTTTCTGCTTCCACATCTTTGAAAGAGGGATAATACCTGGCTCTCAGAGTTGTTTGGGGGAATAAAGAGGATAATGTTAGTGAGTGCTCAATACAGTGTGGGCACTTCCTCCATGGCAGCCCGTGGCTGCTGAGCACCTGCAGGGCCTCTCTGCAGCCTGACCATGGAGCATGCGCAGTGGGGAGGAACCAGGAGGCAAGACAGTGGCTCTTTGTTAAGAGCTGAGTAGGCCAGATGTGGTGGCTCACACCTGTAATCCTAGCACTCTGGGACACTGAGGCAGATGGATCACTCAAGGTCAGGAGTTCCAAACCAGCCTGAGCAAGAGCAAGACCCCCGTCTCTACTAAAAATAGAAACAAATTAATTGGCCAACTAAAAATACATAGGGGGAAAAAAATAGCTGGGCATGGTGGCATACGCCTGTAGTCCCAGCTACTTGGGAGGCTGAGGCAGGAGGATCGCTTGAGCCCAGGAGTTTGAGGTTGCTATGAGCTAGGCTGACGCCACGGCACTCACTCTAGCCTGGGCAATAGAGTGAGACTCTGTCTCAAAAAAAAAAAAACCTATCGAAAGGGCTGGATCATCCACAAAGAGAAATCTAAGGCAGAAATCTGAAGAGGAGTTACCATAAGAGCCCAAGTGGTTAGAGATAGCTATCAAAGAGCATGTCACAGAAGATCCAGAATTCACACAGAATTTCCATTTAAGTGAGTATTTAAATGAAAATTGGCAGCTGGGTGCGGTGGCTCACACCTGTAATCCTAGCTCTCTGGGAGGCCAAGGCGGGGGATCGTTTGAGCTCAGAAGTTGGAAACCAGCCTGAGCAAGAGTGAGACCCCCGTCTCTACTATAAATAGAAAGAAATTAATTGGCCAACTAATATATACAGAAAAAAATAGCCAGCATGGTGGCACATGCCTGTAGTCCCAGCTACTGATGAGGCTGAAGCAGGAGGATTGCTTGAGCCCTGGAGTTTGAGGTTGCCGTGAGCTAGGCTGACGCCACGGCAATCACTCTAGCCTGGGCAACAAAGTGAGACTCTGTCTCCAAAAAAACAAAAAAACAAATGAAAATTGGCAAGAAAACATTCACTGGGAAATTTGACTGGGATCACGTGACCTGAGGAAACTAATGTTACTAGGCAGTTTTCTTGTGAAGTTCCATTAGGAACCATTCTATGGTAGAATAATTAAGAATTCTATGATGGGGGAAAAGGCACGTATTCAAGACATCTTTTTTTTTTAAATTTTGAGACAGGGTCTCACTCTGTCACCCATGCTACAGTGCAGTGGCATGATCATAGCTCATTGCAGCCTTAAATTCCTAGGCTCAAACAATCCTCCTGCCTCAGCCTCTCCAGTAACTGGGACTACAGGTGCACATGTCACCACACCCAGTTAATTTTTTAAAACATTTTGTAGAGATGGGGTCTCACTATGTTGCCCAGGCTGGTCTTGAACTCTTAGACTCAAGTGATCCTCCTGCCTCAGCCTCCCAAAGTGCTGGGATTATAGGTGTGAGCCACAGTGCTTGGCCACGGCATCTTTATTTGAGTTCCAAGGTACAAACTACCCCTTCCTGCAAGTTGAAACATAGGAAAAAAGAGCATTCCCTGTGTTTTGTGGGTCCTGGACTTGTCATCGTGTTTTGATTATCTGGGGGTTTTATCCTTTGTGAAGTGGGTCTGAACTACAGCAATTTAGCACAGCAACCTAGGGGGAAGGTGGTATGAAATGAGGCCCAACTCAATGGCCCAGGTAAAGAATTTCAATTTTACCCTCTGTGCAATGGAAACCATTGGAGGTTTTTTAAATGTTAAGGACCCCCTGGTTATTTTCTGGTAAAATCCTGTCCTATAGCTACATTATTCCCTTTCATTCATTCACTAAATATTTCATAAGAGTCTAATGTGCACCATCACCACTGTAGGATCTGAAAATAAACTACTGGACAAGACAGACAAGGCCATGTCCACCGCCAGCCTGGATCATATCTTTGGACAATTTTTTAAAAGACAGCCCCTCCCCTCTTGTTGGTAAGAAGAGGCAGACTAGGCCGGGCGTGGTGGCTCACGCCTGTAATCCTAGCACTCTGGGAGGCTGAGGTGGGTGGATTGCTCAAGGTCAGGAGTTCAAAACCAGCCTGAGCAAGATCCCGTCTCTACTATAAAAAAATAGAAAGAAATTAATTGGCCAACTAATATATATAGAAAAAATTAGCCGGGCATGGTGGCACATGCCTGTAGTCCCAGCTACTCGGGAGGCTGAGGCAGGAGGATTGCTTGAGCCCAGGAGGTTGAGGTTGCTGTGAGCTAGGCTGATGCTGCGGCACTCACTCTAGCCTGGGCAACAAAGCGAGACTCTGTCTCAAAAAAAAAAAAAGACTGGACACACTAAGATTGCAGGGCCTATGGGACATGGATTTACAGATTCCCAGTGGGCAGTTATTTGTGTGGAACAACAGCGACTTCACATGTATCAGCATAACAATAGTCATTGAATTCAATAGTCATTGAATTCAATAGTCATTGAATCTCGGGATGCAAATAATACACCTAGGGAAATAAGAAGAGAAAGAACTGTGGACAGCACCTTCAGGAAGGTTAAACTTTAAGACACATGATAGAGAAGAGGCAGTATGACATTAGAAAGAAAGAACTTAACCTCTGAACACCAATGTCTCTGGGTTTAATCCTGTTACTTGCTGTAGAACTTGGGCAAGTTATTTAACTTCTCTGAGTCATGGGTTCCTCATATAAAATGGCAATCAAAAGTACTTATAAAGTTGTTCTGAAGATTAAATGAGAAAATGTATACAAACTATGACAGTGCCTAGCACTTAGCAGGGACTCAGCAAAAGGCAAGTGTGAACTCTCTCTCACTCTCACACACACACACATTTGTGTTTTCCTAAAAAGAAAACCAAGAAGGAATTAACTAAAGAAGCTGGTGAGTAGTGCCACTGAAGTCAACTAAAGAGAGGTCAAAGATGAAGTAGTCAGTGGTAATGAACACCACACAGAGGGTAGGTAAGAAGGACCAGAGAAACACCCATTGAATTTGGCAATGGTGACTTCAGCAAGAGCAGTTTTAGTCGCATGGTTAGGTTGCAGGCCTGGTCACTATCATTTGAGGAGTTATTATGAGATGTGGGAATGGAGATAGAGAACATTCCATACTCTGTTAAGAGGTGAGGCTCAGACAGGAAGTGGAGACCCAAGACAGCAACAAGAGTGGACAACAGGATGGAGTCTGTTTCTTTGTTTAAATATGCAAATCCCTTAAGCATGATCATATGCTCAGGAGAAGTTGGAAATATAGAAGAGACATGACAGTTGATGTATAAGGTAGGAGGTAAGAGATCACAGAACACAAGTGGAGTGCTTACCTTTTGTTATGAAATGAGAAGGAAATACAAAAGGGGATAAATGAGGTAAACTTTTAAGAATGGGAGTAGAGAGTTTAAATTTCTCGTGATGCACTATATTTACTCTTAGAAGTTAGATATAAAACCAAGGGGCAAGGAATTGAAGGGTAGGGTTACTAGATTAACTTACAGAACTATAGAAGTAAGTGATTGGTTTGATATCTGTCTGTAATAAATTTTGGTTTGATATATGCCCATAATAAATAAATACTATAGTATTTAATCCACAAGTTTCTTCATAGGAGAAATAAAATGGCCCCAAACCGGAGTTCTTCCAAGCAGTTTTGAAGCCAGCTCTTAGGAAGGTAAAATTTCAGCCTGAAGCTTTTCTGGGGGAGAAAAAGAATAAAAGACAAGTAGGAGTTAAACAAAGGGAGCAAGGATGTGCAGTCCAAAGCCAGAGGCATTGGATCTCTTTCTTGAGAGTTCAAGAATTAACACATTGACAGAATTTCCTCCTCCCGTGGGGAGGAAATTCATAACCCAAGGCAATTTCCAGAAGCTTTTGTTCCAGTAACCCTTCTGAATCATACACCTGGCTTTCCAATATTACTAATCAGCCACTTACAAAATTCTTTAGAGATAAAAGAGGCTGTTGTGGCTCATTGTAGACTGACCCTGTCTTCATCTCTGCTCAACAAGTGCTGTGACATAAACAGCACACACATCAGATCAGCTTTAGAACTGTTCTGGGAAACACGTGAGATGGGGCTGAATATGGAGATGGAGTCATTCTCAAGGTTATTGCTTCAATAAAGAAAAATCTAATTGAAGCAATCTGATCCCGAGTAAGTTTTGGCTAATGCTATCTGCCTTCTCTCTCCAACAGGCCGGGCGTGCCATAAATTATTCACGTGTGTTGATGAGTTATTCTGGGTGTCATGATGAGACGCTGGCTACTGTGCCGTGTCCAGCTCATCCCCAATTTATTCTAACAAGAAAGCACTCTTACCCTGGATAGGACACCCTGTCCCTGGAGAGATTTTTCTCTAATGTCAATAAAGCCCGTCTAGAAAGCTGCCTGGGTTCCTGTGTCTCGCCGAGCCTGCTGACGGCAGTGCTGGTACTGGCCACAAGGTGGCGCCCGCGGCGCTCCAAAGGCGCAGCGCGGCGGCGCGGCCGAGTCCCGCCCTCCTCCCGGCAGAAGCGCGGGAACACTTGTCCCAGCCCTCACCTTTCACTAACGAGAACACTGAGACCCAAAGAAGGTGCGTGACCTAGCCCAAGCTACACCATCAGTTTGGAGAAGACAGAATCAAAGGCCACGTCGCCTCACAGTCAACCCAAGTTCACTCCACCAAAGCGCGGTGGCTTTCAAACCAAAAACAAAACAAGGAAACACTTTCTTTTTGCCTAACAAAACTTTGCAAAGTCTACCTCTTCCACTACCCCCACCCGCCACCCCCATGCGTGGACCGTGAGAATGGCGTCGCTCTGGTTGAAAGATGTGCCCTGCGGCACGGCTGAAGAACCAGGTAAGTTTGGAAATGATGGGTGGGGTAGAACAGGCTTGGCATCTCTCCAGCCTCAGTTGTCTCGCCTGCTGCATTTCCACCACCTCCTTCTCAGCCACTAAGCCTCCCCCTGGACCTTGGGCAGAGTTCAGACACCTGGAGTCCTCCCTGACTCCTCAGCTACCAGCCCCAGCCTGGGCCAAGCAAGAACATTTAGCCACAGTCACGGGAGCCCCTGGGATTCTTCACCCACGTCCCTGGCGAATGCACTGATGCTGAGTTCTGCCAAGAAAATCAAATAGTCACTAGCCGGTTCTGCCACAAAACGAATGGTTTCCAGCTTTAGCTAGGCCACCGACCTCGCCAACAACCCTTTGTCAGTTCTCTGGGATTTCTTTTTCCGGAGGTGGCCAGGCCAGCAAGCCCAGTCCTTTGCCTCTGTCACTGTTCATACAAAATGGAGTCCTCACTGTGTGCCGGGTATTGCTCTAAAAAAAGTTATAGGCACTAACTCATTTTAACCTTCACAGCAGCCCTACAGGGCAGAATCCCCATTGTACAGATGAGAATCTGGAACACAGAGATCAAAGAACTGAGAAATGGCAGAACTCAAATTTGAGCCTGGCAAAGCCTGTGTTCTTAGTCACCAATGCTGTGTGGCCTCTGATGACTGCGCCTGCAGCTCCACTTAGGAAACAGAAGCTATCAGGCATCGAGTCCCTCCGTTTCCATCCCTGCCACCTAATTATTTAACTCTTATCTACACCCATTCTTGAATCCTTCCCTTTCAGCCATAATTTTGCATCCATTTTCTCCAGTGCCCGGAGCACCTGCTGACCAGTGATTCGCCCCTTACTCCTCTATGAAACCGCTCTCTCAAAGGTTCTGCTAAAACTTTGCTTGCCAGACCTGGTGGCTGCTCCCTGGTCCTCTTTTTTCTCGACCTCAGAGGCACTTTTACTGCTGACTATGCTGTTCTTCTCCAATCTTCTACTTCTGTTCTGTGATGGACACTCTGACTTGTTTTTTTCTTTTTCAGACAGGGTCTCACTCTTTCACCCAGGAGCGCAGTGGGCAGTGGCCCAATCATGGCTCATTGCAGCCTCGAACTCCTGGGCTCAAACAATCCACCCACTTCAACCTCCTGAGTGCTCGCCACCATGCCCAACTAATGTTTTTATTTCTTGTAGAGATGGTCTCACTCTGTTGCCCACGCCGCTCACTTGCTTTTTTTAAATGCAGATGTTTGTCCCCTTCCTCAGACCACGTGAGTCAGGATCTCTGGCTGCAGAGTCCAGGCATTTGGAGATTTTCAAAGCTCCACAGGTGATTTTGCTGCTCGGCCAGGGTTAAGAGCCACCGACCCTAATAAGCCAGACATAAAAGATAAATTCTATGTGGTTCCACTTTATAGGAGATACTAGAATAGTCAAATTCATAGGCAGAGAAAGGAGAACAGCGGTGACCAAGGACCCTGCAGGCTTCTGTGCCGCCACTGTCCCCTCCACCTGAAAGGACCCCTCCTGCCTTCCTGCCTGGCTGATTCCTGCTCACCCCTTTGGCTCAGCTCAGGGCTGGGGCTGGACTAAGTGGACACTCTATTCTCTCTCTCTCAGAAATCGCATTTCTTCCGCAGCTTCAGCTCTTACCTACATATTGATTCCCAAATCTTTCTGCAGCCCTGGCAGTGCTCTTGAGCTCAGATCCACATTTCCCACTGGCTCCCTGCCACTAGACAGACACCTGCCTTCCCTCAGTCACCTCGAACCCAACATGTCCAAAGCTTGCAAATAATTTCCCCCTCTTCTATCCTGCTTTTTCTCCTGTGTTTTCTTTTTCAAAGACTAGAATCATCATGTATTGTGTCAAGTACTTAGAACAGCGCCTAGTAGCTATTACACCAGCCCCCCACCTTATCCACGGTTTCAGTTACCCACCGTCAACCATAATCTGAAAGTATTAAATGGAAAATTCCAGAAATAAACTCTTCTGAAGTTTTTTTTTTTTTTTTTTTTTTTTGAGACAGAGTCTCACTTTGTTGCCCAGGCTAGAGTGAGTGCCGTGGCGTCAGCCTGGCTCACAGCAACCTCAATCTCCGGGGCTCAGCGATCCTACTGCCTCAGCCTCCCGAGTAGCTGGGACTACAGGCATGCACCACCATGCCCGGCTAATTTTTTGTATATATATTTTTAGTTGGTCAATTAATTTATTTCTATTTTTGGTAGAGACGGGGTCTCGCTCAGGCTGGTTTCGAACTCCTGACCTTGAGCAATCCGCCCGCCTCGGCCTCCCAAAGTGCTAGGATTACAGGCGTGAGCCACCGCGCCCGGCCTCTTCTGAAGTTTTAAACTGCATGCCGTTCAGAGTAATGTGATGAAATCTTGAGCCATCCCAACTTATCCCATCTGGGATCCGAATCCTCCCTTTGTTCAGCGTCTTCATGATGTCTACACTGCCCACCCACCCACAAGTCACTTAGTAGCCATCACAGTTATCAGATCCACTGTCATGGTTTCACAGTGCATGTGTTCACGTAAACTTCATTTTACTTAATCATGGCCACAAACCCCAGAGTAGGGATGCTGGTATATTGTTATAATTGTTCTATTTTATTAATAGTTATTATTCTTGGTCTCTTATTTTGCCTAATTTAGAAATTAAACTTTATCATAGGTGTGTACATATAGGAAAAAACACTATATATAGGGTTCAGTACTACCTGCGGTTTCAGGCATCCGCTGGAGGACTTTGAACATGTCCTACGAGGATAAGGAGGGACTACTGTATTATTTTTGTATATGAGGATTAATAGTATGACTAGCAATAGAATTATAATAAAGATTTTCAGAAACATGATGACGCTGGTGATAATGAGCCTAACACTCTATAGTACCTCCATATTTAAAATGACTTCTAAAAAAAAGCACTCTATGGCCGGGTGCTCACACCTGTAATCCTAGCACTCTGGGAGACCAAGATGGGAGGATCACGTGAGGCCAAGAGTTCGAGACCAGCCTGAACAAGAGTGAGACCCTGTCTCTACTAAAAATAGAAAAAATGAGCTGGTGCACATCTGTAGTCCTAGCCACTTGGAAGGCTGAGGCAGGAGGATTGCTTGAGCCCAGGAGTTTGATGTTGCTGTGAGCTAGACTGATACCACGGCACTGTGGCACTGGCTATAGAGCAAGTCTCTGTCTCAAAAAAAAAAAGAAAAAAATTGACTTCAAGTTGCAGTGTAAAAAAAAACAACAAACAAACAAAAACAAGCACTCTAGCCTGGGTAACAACAACAACAACAAAAATCAGCCTCTTAGTATATCAGGGCAGGAAAGGAAAAGCTTAATGATGTAACATGCTTGTACAGAAAGCCAAATGCTATAGTTTATAACTTCCAGAGCACGGTTAGGTACAGTGAAGATAGTAACTTCCTTTGAAGGTGGAGCTTTGCAAGACGGCCTAGTGAAAGGTAGAAATAGCAAGATATATCAGATACGTAGACTCAAAGGACACAGAGGACCGTGTGTTGAACAACTTAATGTCCCTCTAATCAAGATGTGCTATATATGGATTATACAAAGCTCTCGAAATACGTGGTAATGATTGACTGATTGACTAAGCCAAATAAATGATATTGTCAAAGATGAGCCATTATGAATGGACAAACAAATACATGCAATGGAATATTATTTAGCCTTAAAAAGGAAGGAATTCTGATACGTACTACAACATGGA